ATGCATCTGCGTTCAAGGGTAGATTCTCTATGACAAAACAAAAAGGTCACCTGGCCGGCTAGCTGACCTTACTTGTGATAATTGAAGGGTGCTGGCGTGATAAATAGTAGACTGTTCACAGCCCTCTATTTTTTCGTATTTTTCGATCGATGAGTGCGCGGTGAGAACGGGGAGAGAGAACTGGACTGAGAAACAGAGTGGCTGAGAACAGTCTAGATAAGTAGTAACAGGAAAGCTCAAGCCGGCTTCCCGATATGCAAACTCGAAAACACAGCAAACCAGAAAAAAAAATGGACAAGCTGTTTTTTCCAAGTACTTTGCAGCACGTTTAAGCTGACACTATTCTAAAACTTTTAAAATTTTGATAGGGTTTTTGGTGGCTATTTTTTTACAGGAGAAATCATCTCATTTACTGTGTGTAAAAAGGAACCTCCCAATAAAGATCGCAGTCAGTTCATAGCGAGAAAATTAAAATTTTAATCAATACCCGGTCAATATTACGCTAATTACATGTAAACAAATACTCGCAAACAATTAATCCTTCTCACATCGGTTAGGAAAAGAAATTACAAATGAGCGGTCTGGAAAGTCAGCCACGTCGATGTATACACATTTTGCTAAAATACAAGATATAGGAATAACCTGAACTTTGTTTTGATTAGGTTTTTTTGTAACTTGAATGTGCGATGCACATGCCCCAGTGATGCTGTCTTGGATAAGACTCTCTACTTTCTTTTCCAACGGCGTGACAAGTGCTAAATTATACACTGTTGGAGTGGACATTTCTGGCCCAGGGGTGACACACGGCTTTTGGACTTGGAGGTAGAAAATTACTTGCGCATATGACACTTCATTTTTGCTCGAAAAATACTTTATAGTATAACTGTTGTGGCATTTCACTCTTTTGTAATCTTTTGAGTGGTAAACATCGTTTCCTCTTCTCATTCGCGTAAATACCCTTGTCCCAGTTGATTCAGGGACATATCCAAAATAGTCTGCTAACGCACAAAACGTTCTTTCGTCCACTTGTTTCTGTTCTACTCCCCCCATGGCAAAAATGCCCTGTTCTATCTCTGTTTCGCGTGTACACGCATGCGGGGAAGTGACTTTTTTGTAGAATTCTTCCACCCCAGAACCCTTCGGTAATTGAGTTTCTAATTGGGGTAAGCGTTGCATGATAGAAATTGCTGAAGCAATTTGAAAGGGGACATTTTGCGTTCCGTGAAACAGTTTCAATATTTCGCCATTATAGTTTTCAAAGGGAAAACAC